TCAGTTGCAGTGGTTCAGTTTAAAAGTCTAGTTCTAGTATAGCATGTCAGCCCTACGCATAGCAGTACCTTTGTCAGTAGTAGTCTTAAGTGGAACTCCTGATCCTCAGTTGTCAGGTCCCTTGTTAGATGTCTCCAGTAACAGACTCAGTTGTCTATTCCAGGCACAATGGGAATAAAAATTTGTTTCAGGGGGCTGGCAATTGTTGGTACCTGCTCTATCAGGAAAATGTACCTTTTGCTTTTTGTGTATTTTTGTGCTTTTTGTGCATTTTTGTGAAAAAAAATTTAAAAAAAGCAAAAACATTTAAAAAAAGCAGTGTTGCATATGTATTATAAAATCCACTTTAAGATGTACATAAAAAACAAAAAGCATCAAAAGTACAAAAAAACCAAAAAAGCAAAAGGTATGTTTTCCTGATGGCAGGGAACCCAGCACTGGTGAGATGACTCAACTTGATTCTCAGATTTGTTCATACATTGGCTGCATTCTCAAGCTTCACAGCTTAATAAGCAAGTCCAAATACTAGAGAATGATTATAGTATATCTTTTCCTTGGTGTCAGGTCATGGAATACAAGAATTAGCTCATGGCAATGGTTAGAGTCCGATTTAAGTTGATTGTGAATGGATGTATACTAAATGGAATTTGGGAGAGCTACTGGTATATTGTTCTAGTATATTGCTCATATCGTGACGAGACCGACTACCGCTATGCCATCCTACGTCCATCATACACAGGCGGTGGATCAGATAAGTAAGTTAAACTATCAGAACCAACCAGGGACACCTGACGAGGCTGATTATGACTCAGAAGAGCACTAAGCCCAGGAGTAAGGTGGCGCTCATTTGGTGGACTCGTGGAACGAGACGATCCCAAAATATGCATCATCTTAATCACTCTCGCGTTATGAGAAGAATGCGAAGGTGTTTCTGGCGTCAGCCCGTCTTCATTAGCCGGGATGAGAGGCTCGCTAGGTGTGTCGGGACGAGATAAGTTGGAAGCGGATGGCTGGTCGACAGCCAGCGGAAGGGAAGACATTGCGGGTGTCTTCCTGCGTAGGGGTTGCAGAGGATCGATAGCGCTCATATTGTAAGGTGATGCTGTTAAAAGCAGGTTGAGGTGCGTCTAATGGAGGTGCATGGAAAAAACTTAGAACTTACGCGTATGATTGATCTTTGCAGAACGAGGGTGTCGAGCCGCACCTGTAGTCCATCTACAGCCTTTACGACACAAGAATAAAATGATCGCACTTGCAACGATCAGGGTGCCTCCCACTCCAGCCACAGTACCAATGATAATAGCCCTTGTATTCGAGAAGTGAGAGGATGAGGCAGCGCTCGCTGAAGATATAAGTGAGGCGGTAGATGCACCACCGTTGGATGTTCCGCTTGCCGAAGGCAGGCTATGAGCTTCGTTAAGACTCACTGACCTCCTACGGTGTCAACAAGGATATCTGATATGAACCACACAAAAAACACTACCTGAGGTCAAGCTTGCAGTTCCAATTCCATTTATCTCGCTGCTAAAGCTAGAGATAACTGGTGTGGTAGATGTTCCGCTGTTGATAACTAAGGTGGTGGATGTTCCGCTGTTGATAACTGAGGTAGTAGATGTTCCACCCTTGATATTTGAAGTGGTAGATGTACCACCGTTGGAAGTTCCGCTTGCCGAAGGCGAGCCTTGAGCTCCGCTAGAACTCACTGACCCCCTGCGGTGTCAACAAGAACACCTGATGTGGACCACAAAAAAACAATACCTGAGATCGGACCTGCACTTCCGGCTTCATTTGTCTCGCTACCTGAGCTTGTATATCTGGATGGGCATTGTAAATGTCAATACAACAGACACCATCCCGAGCGCATACATACTGAAGATAATAGAACTCAACATAGCTACCACCTAATACTCCACCGCCTACGTAGCTTACACTCAGTGAATGGTTTTTTTCGCCATCCAAATCGGTCTTTGACCAAAGTACAGCCGGTATAGGAGCTTCGCCTTTGTAAGCATTTTCCGATTCATCTACAAGGCTCGGAGAGTCATTATCCAGGACAATGCTTGCCACTCCTCCGTTTGGATTTATCACAGAATGATAATAGACTGCTGTCCCTGTACTCGATACTAGTTAAAACGGCATATACATGATGTAATCTATACTTACCTGTAAAGGAGAAAGATAATGACGACCCAGGTCCATTAGCGTAGAAATATTCACCATTCTCTTGGTTTATCCAACCGCCCGTATACACAATTTGCGGATCCTCTGCGAGAACTGTGACATTGGACTGTGCTACAGCTGGCAGCAGCTGAAGTGCATAAATGGCGAGGAGAGAGAGCAGAGAAGAAACCTTCATGGCGTGGCATATTGATGTCGAAAACACACTGGATTAAATAGCGAGGCGCATGCCAGGGGCATGATTGAGTTTCAAAGTGACATTTGAATGTACATGATGGGGCGAGACAGCCATTGAAACAGTCTGTGAGACAATATGACCAACCTTGAGCATGGTACTAGTAGAGGTCTAGAAGACAGTGTTTTTCAGAAATCGAATTTAGAAACAGGAGGACGAGAGAACGTTGAGTACCGTGGATACTCAAGTGCAACATAGGTATAACCTGTGAATGACCCTGTTCGGTCATTTCAAACTAAGCATGCCGTCACTGAGTAAGGCATAGTTGTTGCCTCTGGATCTTATCCATCTCCGCTTGTCAAATATGGGATGGCTGCTTTCAGGTTCAACCACATTTGTCGAGGAGCAGCCTGGGGCAAGGGATAAATTGACCGTAACCACGCAGACACCTGTGGCCTAGTCATACCACCACTCTGCGTGGACGAGGCTTGTCGCCGCTAGGAGAAATATAAACTAGAGTCCGGCATCAAGATAAATAATAAGAATATATGATGGGCTCTATCACGCACGCAAGTCTTTGCACATCGGTGGCAGTTCAACGTCCAGCCTGAGCGCTGCCAGCCTTCAAAGTAGCCAAGATTTCGCAACGCCTGGGCTAAGCCCTAATCTAACCCGGGCGACACCGTGGCAGTGATTGATGCAGGTCATGGTAGTGTGAGTCTGATGATGGTGATGATGATGATGAAATCAGCATTTACATACCGCAACAAGCAAACAAATGTGCTAAGACGCGGCGATAACCGGTCCGTACAAGTAGAACTAATACGACTGGGCTACCGCTATCGAGGCTTTGGGTGCCGGTACTCGGTCATGATACTGTGGACAAAACGCGATGTCCGGCCGTCGAGCATATGCTGAACATGCACCAAAAGAGATCGTATTTTAACTCGATTTTCCGAGCTCGAGCATTGGATATCCCATTCGAGCACCAAACATGACGGATCTGTAGTCTCTAATTGATCCACTTGCCGTGTTCTTTGCGATTTCTTGTGGCCAGTTTCCGACGCATGTCCGGAGGATCAAAAGGCGGTCTACGGTATAGGCGTCTGTTCCAACTGACCCGATGTGGAGATTTGGTCTGGGAGTGCAAGCAGAGGCGTACCAGAGGCCGGGCACTGGACCGTGGGTGACTAGTGCTGTAGCGTAGCCATTTCCATTGCAGGGAAATGCGATCCCTTGCGGCCAGTTTCCGACACATGTTCACAGCATCGAAAGTCTATGCTCGACCGCCGAACTTTGTCAATTGCCCACGCTATGGGCGTCTGTTATAGTTAAATCGGTGAATGCTATGCGATGAGCACGTGCCAGAGGCCGGGCAAGACGACTAGCGCAGTAGCATACCCATCCCCCACTTACTCTACACGCTCTGTGCTTTTCTGCTAACGATTCTGCTCGTCGCTGGTCACGATGAGCGACGACTTCATCCGTCTCGTATCCCAAGCAAATCCTGCCACTCATCAATACCAGCCCACCCGCAACAGCTATGCTCCCTCCGGCCAAGCATTGGATCCATTCTTCGACGATGAGGACGAGGAGGAAGTAGTCCCCGACTCTGCGTTTGGCGCACCGGCTGCTATGCGCTCCCAAGAGTCTGGTCTACCCTTTGCTCGCTCTGGGGCGGCTCCTGCAGGCGCGTCCCAACTCACTTTGCCCGCAACCATCCAGCCAGACTGGTCCTTTGACGACGACGATCAGCAACAAATTCCTGCCGGTCATAAGCGCATTTTTGGTTCTCGACAACTCCCTGGCTCCGCAAAGCATACGCAGCGCGAGAAACAGCCGCGTAAGTCATTCGGCGAACGCATAAAGTGGCCATGGAAGAGGAAGGAGCAGGTTCTGACGGGCGATCGAATGGTTGTTCTGAACAACTCGATTGCAAACTCTGAATTCTGCTCCAACTATGTGTCGACAAGCAAGTACAATGTTGCCTCGTTCGTGCCCAAGTTCTTGTTCGGTGCGTCTGCTATGCGCGTTGCTTTATTATATTCTGACGTGGATGAACGCGCAGAGCAATTTTCGAAATATGCGAACTTGTTCTTCTTGTTCACGGCGTTGATCCAGCAAATACCTGGGGTGTCGCCCACGAATCGCTGGACAACAATTGGACCACTTGCGGTTGTGCTCTTAGCGTCGGCTTTCAAGGAAACGCAAGAGGACCTAGTAGGGTCTCCTTATAGTATTAAAGAAATATAGCTTACTTACTGCTATGACATGTGTAGAAACGGCATCAGTCTGACTCTGAGTTGAACTCACGGATGGCCAAGGTGTTGACTCCTGAAGGGACTTTTGTAGAGAAGAAGTGGAAGAATATCAGGGTAGGCGACGTTATTCGGCTGGAGAGCAACGACTCCATTCCAGCAGATGTCATTTTGCTGAGTTCTAGTGAACCGGAGGGGTTCTGCTACATTGAGACATCAAACCTAGACGGGTGCGCACTTGACGTTGAATCTATCGTCGATGTAACCACTAACCTCTGCTCAGCGAGACGAACCTGAAGATCAAACAGGCTTCTCCTCAGACAGCACACCTTACCTCCCCTCAGCTGGTAGTCGGTTTGCATGGAACGCTCCGCTCCGAGCATCCAAACAACTCGTTATACACTTATGAAGGGACTGTGGAACTCACGACCAACGAGGGATTGCCGAGGCAAGTTCCTCTCGGACCCGACCAAATGCTTCTTCGTGGTGCACAGATACGAAATACGCCATGGGCGTATGGCCTTGTCGTCTTCACCGGCCACGAAACAAAGCTGATGCGGAATGCGACGTAAGCGCTCATGCAAATCCGCATGTCTCTTTGCTTATTCCAATTAAAGGGCGGCCCCGATCAAGAGAACTGCAGTGGAGCGTCAGGTCAATGTTCACATCGTCTTCTTGTTCATACTTCTGCTCGCATTATCCTTGGGTTCAACGATTGGCAGTAGTATCAGGACGGTGCGTACACTTGGTAGCCTATAGCGTGGGCGATGTCATTGAACCGTCTGCAGTGGTTCTTCGCCGATCAAGAGTGGTATCTGTATGAGACATCAGGGCTCGGAGACCGAGGTACGCACTGACGTTTTAGTAATATTCGCCAAATCACTCAAAGCATGCATTTTCCAGCGAAACAATTCATCGAAGGTATGTCCCGGCTCATTCTAATAATTATTTAGCATGCAGGGTTTGACGATTGCCAGATATTCTCACGTTCATCATCCTGTACAACAATTTAATCCCGATTTCGCTCATCGTGACCATGGAGGTGGTAAAGTTCCAGCAGGCGCAGTTGATCAATTCAGATCTTGATATGTACTATGCGAAGACGGATACTCCCGCGCTCTGTCGGACCTCGTCGCTGGTCGAGGAGCTCGGCCAGATCGAATTCGTGTTCAGCGATAAAACGGGTACGCTGACATGTAACGAGATGGAGTTCCGGTTCTGTAGTATTGCTGGTGTCGCATATGCAGACGTCGTGGACGAGAGCAGGCGGGGAGACGAGGACGGCAAGGACGGTTGGAACACATTCGCGGAGATGAAGGCGTTGCTGGGTCACAGTGAGAACCCGTTCCTTGACAGTAAGTCGGAGAAAGCAGAAACAACCCGCGACAGGGAGACCGTCAATGAATTCCTCACTCTACTTGCTGTGTGCCATACTGTCATCCCCGAAGTCCGTGATGGCAAAATGCACTACCAAGCTAGCAGTCCTGACGAGGCCGCACTAGTTGCCGGCGCGGAATTGCTTGGGTATCAGTTTCACGTAGGTACTGTCCGTGGCGTTGACTCGCAGCTTGTCTTGATTGCTGGTTTGAATAGACACGGAAGCCAAAATCCGTTTTTGTCAACATTGCTGGAACATCGCAGGAATTCCAGATCTTGAACGTCTGCGAGTTCAACTCCACGCGCAAGCGGATGTCCACCGTCGTTCGGTGCTCGGACGGCAAGATCAAGCTGTTCTGCAAAGGCGCGGATACCGTTATACTGGAACGTTTGAGTGAAGATCAGCCCTACACAGAACGGACTTTGGGCCATCTAGAGGTAAGGTGGTTGCTTGTATGCTATCCTTCGCTGATTTCACGATGTCCAGGACTATGCAACGGAAGGACTGCGGACTCTGTGCATCGCGTCTCGCGACATCTCAGAGAACGAGTATCGACAGTGGTGTGCAGTCTATGATCAGGCGGCGGCAACAATCAACGGGCGAGGAGAGGCTCTTGATCGAGCAGCAGAGCTGATAGAAAAGGACATGTTCCTTCTGGGTGCTACTGCCATCGAAGATAAGCTGCAAGACGGCGTCCCAGATACCATTCATACACTGCAGATGGCGGGCATCAAGGTATGTATCTTAGGACTTTATAGAGTTGATGGCATTGCCGAATAATGTCCTACAGGTCTGGGTCCTTACCGGAGATCGGCAGGAAACTGCTATCAATATTGGCATGTCGTGTAGACTGATTTCCGAGTCCATGAATCTGGTGAGTATATGCGTGATTTCGTAGGGCAATCTGTTTGACACTGTGCAGATCACTGTGAATGAGGAGACGATGCTCGATACTCAGGAATTTATAACAAAGCGGCTGTCTGCTATTAAGAACCAGCGCAGCACGGGCGAACTGGGCGAACTGGAGGACCTAGCTCTCGTTATCGGTATGGGGCATTTTTCCGTTTCCAGATCTCCTACTAATTATATGGTTGCAATTAGACGGCAAGAGTCTTGGGTATGCATTAGAGAAGGAAATCTCTTCGGCGTTCCTTGAACTTGCTCTGATGTGCAAAGCTGTGATCTGCTGTGCGGATTCATTGTTCTACGTATCCGGAAGCAATGTCTCATTTGTTTGCAGGTCGTGTGTCGCCTCTGCAAAAGGCGCTGGTGGTGAAGCTTGTCAAGAAGAATCAGAAGTCGATCCTACTTGCTATTGGCGACGGTGCCAACGATGTCAGCATGATCCAAGCCGCCCATGTTGGTGTTGGTATTTCGGGACTCGAGGCGAGTAATGGAGAGTGTTGCGAACAAAATAAACGATTTAACATCTCTCTAGGGCCTGCAAGCCGCTCGGTCTGCCGACGTAGCCATCTCACAGTTCAGATTCCTCAAAAAGCTGCTACTTGTCCATGGCTCATGGAGTTATCAGCGACTGTCCAAGCTGCTGCTCTGTCTGTTTCCCACTATTCGGGAGGTCGTTCGTGGGCTAATCTCATGTTAACTAGATTCATTCTACAAGAACATCGTGCTTTATATGACACAGTTTTGGGTGAGTTGTCGAACGTTTTCACAAACTACGACTAATCTGACAAGTGGGCATCCAGTATTCATTCTTCAATAGCTTCTCCGGAGAGATCGTGTACGAATCATGGACGCTCTCGATGTATAACATCATCTTCACGCTCCTTCCTCCCTTCGTCATTGGCGTGTTCGATCAGTTTGTCTCTGCTCGCATCCTTGATAGATACCCACAGCTCTATATGCTAGGACAGAGAAACGCGTTCTTCACGAAAACTACTTTCTGGCTTTGGGTCGTCAACGCTCTCTATCACAGTGTCGTAAGTTTTCCCTGAATTCGTCAGGTAATTCGGCTGATATTGGGATAGATCCTGTTCGGCTTTTCTGTGATCCTGTTCTGGGGCGACTTGAAGCAATCTACCGGCTACGATTCTGGCCACTGGTTTTGGGGCACGATGCTATATTTAGCGGTTCTCCTGACGGTTCTAGGCAAGGCAGCACTCATTTCCGAGTACGTCACAATACTATCCTCTTTTACTTGGTGTTGATAGTTTGAAACTGTAGTTTGTGGACCAAGTACACGGTGGCAGGCGAGTGAAGACTTGCAACTACCCATTCTCTTCCCCGCTGACGTCTATGATCACAGCTATTCCGGGATCTTTCGTGTTCGCTATGCTTTTCCTCCCTCTGTATGCAGTTGTCGCGCCTGCGATTGGATTTTCCACGGAATACTATGGGCTTGTGCCTCGACTATGGACTGACGCCGTGTTCTACTTCATGCTGATACTAGTACCCATCTTTTGCTTGACGCGGGATTTCGTGTGGAAATAGTCGGTGTTTCTTTCACATGCTCATTTCTTTATATGCTGACAAACTTGCCGTAGTTACCGGAGAACATACCGGCCAGAATCTTACCACATCGCGCAGGAGATTCAGAAGTATAACATTCCTGATTACCGACCACGCCAGGAGCAGTAAGTGCAGTCCACCATGCGGTATTCGCGGGTGCTGAGATTTTACTCCTCGTCACAGGTTCCAAAAAGCGATCAAGAAAGTGCGCGCGGTGCAGCGCATGCGGCGCAACCGAGGCTTCGCGTTTAGTCAGACGGAGAACGCGGCGCGCCAAGACCAAGCGCGACTCATTCGGGCTTACGATACAACGAGGACAGGAGCACGGCCTTCTGGATACTAGGAGCGATCTGTTTGCAGCATATTATTATCGGGACATTGTATTCTACCATATGGCATATTTACTTTGCTAATTCCGACAGCGAAGACTGGACGGCTAGAGGGCTGCGGGCCTGCGATTTGCGCACGCGGGTGCTCGCTTGTAGGCACAGTACTACCATTGCACCAGTAATCCAGCTTTTTCAGTATCTGGGCTCCTTATAGCGCAAATCCTACTGGAACGTGTCTCGAGGTTTTCGCCAGTCGATGCACAATGTTTGAAAGTATATAGGTGGATTTCGAAGGGTCGGCATGTCAAGAATTGGGCAATACTTACCGAGAGCAAAATAAAATCACAACAGTAGTGCAACTTTTCTCCGCCACGTCGACTATCACAATGCCGCGCATACCGGTTTTTCTTTGTCCGCCCGGCTCGAAATTTGAAAGTGGCGCTCAGTGGCTGGGCTTCAAAGCTATGCGAAGTACAGCCTGGTACAGCGATAACTGCTGCATTCTGCTGCACTGCCGCCACCGCCGCTACCAGGTGAGTCAAGATTCACGACGCCAATTGTGGCTGAATGTCACGGACTTGAGTCGTCACCATTCGACACTGGCCCACTCAGAAGGGGCTCACTTTGCAAATCATTCCGGAAAAATTAGAATAAGAGTGTGTATGTTTTTTCGCATAACCATGGTGAGTTATTGTGCCAATCGGTAATTGCGATCGCCCACCCGAGGCCACTCTTGGTCGAGATGTAGTCCTTAAAACATACTCGTGAGGCATTCGAGTCGCTCTCTTACTTTGCGTTCGATAGCTACCCACACAATAGTGATCATACTTGTATTTCGTATCACATGTGATTTATTGTAGGGGGAGGAGCAGTCGTAAGTTCAGTAATCGCCACAAGTCACGTGTGCAATGATAGTAGTAAAGCTTGCGGGATCGGCGACGTGATAATGCGCCGATCTGAGCCGGGCCGCTTAGGGCCCACTCACCCCGCACAGCAACGCCACTCAAGGAGCATGTCTCGGGTTGCCACGCCCGGTTCACCATCGCCGCATCCGCAGCGATGCAGACGGACTTACCAAAGTACAAATGGCGTCCTCGCGCTCGCAGCAATAACCCATTTATACTGGCCCTGCCTGAATCCTACTGCACGTCTAAGAAATGTCTAATGCGCATGCTCGCGACTCTCAAGACTCACTCGCTGACCAACTTCCCGGCCAATGGGTTGACGTCGAGCAGTCAAAGGGGCCAGCCTCGCCGGTAGCAAGATCGTCTCCTTTACCATTCTTTGTTGGCGTTCTTCCGCGTCTCCGGGGATACAGATGGGTTGCATTCGCCCCAGTTGAGGAAGACATAGACGACGGCGAGCCAAAGGGCCTGAAGCAGATGTGGCGGAATGGCAAGAAAGACATCTGGCTTCGCGTCTCGCTGTATTTCACCCTTCTTGCGCTGATTTTCCCGTTTATTGTTTGGTGGATCACCTCTGTCGCGAGACAGGTGAGTGTTCGTGGTTTTGTTGACGATGCATCGCCCCCCGGCTTCATGCAGTGGCATTCAGAGACATCCGAGTGTCAAGTTCCACCTTGATTTTCCGCAAGGCTGTGTCGAGCGGGTACCCTGGTCATTTGGCACAGACACGACGCCCGCTCCCTCTGAATTCCTGGGTTCTTCGTACCTCTACACGGCAAATGTGTCATTATCGCTGCCCAGCGACGCGGACGTACTCTCCATTATCACTCGTGGAAACGAGGCGAATCGCGCACATGGTATTGTGGAGTTCATTGTCGATGACGGAACCAGGTATGGGCAGGACAGCGACGTACACGTCGAGTTCACTGCGTTCATGAATGATCGGGAATCGTTGCAAGAGAGCGCCACGATCTGCCGACTGCATCCGTCTGCAAAACATGACGGGGCGGGGCTTGTCGTTGTACGTGAACTTACTGGCGTGTGTGTATCCGATCATATATCTCCTGCAGAATTACCCGCGGTATCAGAGCCATCGCTCGCGCCGTATGGTCTTTGCTATTAAAGTCTACTTCCCCACATCGCCTGGCTCCCCGACACTCCTGAATCAGTTCCGGACATCTTTGCCACAGTTCATCCACAAGATTGGGGATCTTCAGGACCACGTATCTTTCTTGTCGTTGTCACTATGGTCTACCAACCATCCTGTCTATGCAGAGGTGCGTTCCTCATAATCTATCCTTGTGCTACCTGGCCTCATTGTGCGGCAGTCAGTATCGGGGAAGAACATCAACGTCATGACGTCCAACGCGCCTATCAAGGGCACCTTCAATGCGACGTCCATTCTGAACTTGTATACTCAGAATGCACTGATCGACGTCAATGTGAGCCTCGTGGCTGCGGAGAGCGTGCACAGTGCCACGGCGATGCTGAAAACCACGAATGCGTGCGTGGCTGGTCCTTTGCATGCTGTTACATGTCATTGACATAGTGGATTCCTAGCCCTGTCTCTGCGAACATGAGCTTATTGGCATCTGCGAGGGAAGCGAGGTTCAACACGCAATTCGAGACGAGCAACGGTGCCCTCGACGTCGCTTTCGCGGAGGCACCTGTGAGCAGTCTCCTCGACGTCCGCGCACACACGTCCAACGCTCCCGCGCGGGTCTCGCTGCACGAGACGTTCGAGGGCACGTTCGATCTTTTCTCGACGACCTGGCACCAGCCACAGGTGCACGTCCGCCCAGACGTGGAGGATCCGGAGGGACAGGGGCGCAGGCGTGTGGTGGAAATACGCCCCGAGTCGCGCGAGAGCAGTGTTTCCGGTAGCGTTGCTTGGGGAAAGCATGATGGTTGGCGGAGATATGGAAGGGTGAATGTCGCGTCATCGAATAACGATGTGCGTCTACACATGTAGGCGGTATACATGATATCGGCGGATGTGCACATCAGATTACCCTCGTTTCAATGCCCTCATTCACTGGCTCCATTCTGAACTTGTTTCTGAGACTTGTTGTCGCCAAGTAGTTTGGACGACTTGAATTTGCCCTGGGGACAATCTGATCCATTCCATTGGTAGCCGCATGGTGCATATGAAAACTTACACTTACCGACATGATATGTTCGTGCCTGTCTCTTCGCGCTCTCCGCGAAATCGACGGTATAAGCACGCAGAACTCGTCGTCGTGGTCGAGAATGAAGGCTAAAAAAATCCATGCCTACCTATCTTGACAAGTGTCAACAGCTTCCGATCCTCGACACCTCGACATACATATGTACAGATATATATTCCGCATCCACCCCACCAGGCATGACAGAATACATTATAAAATTATGTGTATAGAAATCTATCTTACAAGTCACTCGTCGGTACACCAAATCTCAAGCCGACCCTCGGACCTGCCCTTGGCACTCTCGCGGGCGGTTTCGATAGCAAGCTCATAGTCCATTTCGTCACGCAGCGTTACCTTCCCCCCATCTTCGTCCTTGAACTGCATGCCCAGGCCATCGAGCGGACGCCCAAACTTGCTCGTGACGCGGTCGACGAACTCCTCCCAGGACATGTCGGGCACCAGCGCCATCCCGCGCACGTCGTCACGGTAGTGCAGCTGCAGAGTAAGTGGAAGGGTTAACAGACAGTTGATACAAAGCCAGACAAAAAGACGGCGGGCGCACCTTCACGCGGATCTTCGCAATGTCGCCCAGCTCGTCCTCCGCGTCACCGCTTGCATACCCTTCCTCCTCCTCTTCGTCGTCATATCTACGTTTCACGGTGCCGCGGCGCGTCGGCTTCCTACGTATACTCCCGCCGACGTTCCGTGAGGTCGACTGCGAGCGCTGCGGCGCGCGGCGCGCGGTATTTGAGCGCGCCATGGTGATCGGCTGCTCGGCGACTGGCGACAGAGGGTCATCGCTGTAGGAGTTGAGATACGTGTCGTAAAATTCTGTCGTAGTGCGCATCCCCCTGGGGAGCTGCGCAGCGTCCATAGTCGGGCCTGGCTTCCGAATGCTGAGGCCACGCGTGGGGGGAACAGGCATGCGCCCCGATCCTGATCCAATGGTTGTCCCACTACGCGCCAATCGTGTGCTAGGAGAGCGCGCAGGAACGGCACTGGCCGGAGGACGAGACAGACCGGGGGAATCTGCACCTGCAGGGCTTGAGGGGACGGAGCGGGAACGATCAGGAACATTGATCGTCGTGTTGGCCCGCTGGATCCTAGGACGGTCTATGCCTTCTTGCGCCTCTGTAAGATACAGCGAGGTCCAGTGAGATATTATGAAGAACATATGGGTATACGCACTAGGAGGAGGAGCAGGGTTTGCGACCGTTACGGCGCGCGTGAGGCCACCGCTGATAAATTCCGTGGAACCAGTTGGACTGATGCCCATCTTCATCCGTGCGGCGCCAGTGAACTCCGTAAACGCCTCACTAGCATCTTCTGCGGCGACAAGTTTCTACAAAGTCCCATCAGCACTCGCTCAGCGTGAAAATGCGCGTGATGGATATCCGAGCACGATTGCTCCAATAATACTCACCGCCTTGCCCATATAATCCTTAGTCTTTGCGTTCTGCAACTTCTTATCCGACGGACGGTAGAGTACTCCGACAGGCTGGATGATTGGTAGCGTTACAGTTAAGAGGAAGGTAATAAAATTGTTCAGAAGGAAAGTTGGAACACGAGCAGTGGGGACTCACAATGCTAAATACAGTATATCCCTCTGCATTCTCCCTGATGGCATCGTCGATGACATTGTGCTCGTCCGTGACTTTCTCCTTCTGTGCCTCTTGGAGCTCCTTCATGCCCATACCTATTTCGACTTGGCCATCCCTCTCTCCCCTATCTATTTCGGCGCGTCCCTGGTAGATGTGACAGAGACCCTTGTTGAAGAGGACCTCTGCGGCATATAGGGTAAACTTGAGACCGAGCTGGGCATATTCAATGGAAGGATTTCCCCGTAGATAAAGCAAAGCATCGGCAAAATCGTCAAGAGCGTTGGGGTATCGAGCGAGCAGAAAGTTGGAGACACCGGATTGGAAGTATCTACAAGATTAAGATGTAAGCGAAACGAATCTTTAGCGACACGATCGTCAGAAATCGCAAGTGAAACAGATGGGCTATCGGCAAGAGGTTAGAGTATTTGGGCGCATCAACCCGACTCGCTCCGAGTCTTGATTAACGCGTAGACGATGCCCAATTTCGCGATCAGCGCCCAAAAGTCAGGATGCGGGGCATGTTCTGACGAGAGGTCGACACAGTAGGGGGTACTTACGCGACGGCGAGATATTGGTCGAGCTGGATGGCAGCATTGAACTGTTCGACGGCAGCCTCGTGCTCGCCGAGAGTAGCGTAGATGAGACCCATGTTGGTGAGGATTTTGGACGAGTCGCTGATGGTCGAGAAGAGTTCGATACTCTTATCAAAGTCTTCATCGTCGTAGGCCTTGAGGGCAGCAGCCCAGGTCTCGAGTTCAGCCTTGAGAGACATTGCAGATAGAGGACAGAGAGATGTAGAGCGATGGGGGTGTGATAAGAAGAGAGACGAGAGCGACGAGCGACAAAGAGAGCCTCAGGCTGGAAGAAGAGACGAATGAGACGGCGAGAGTTTCCTGCACTCTGGCGGACGAGGGGGATGATGGGGCGGGGCTATAAAGGACGTGGGGAGGAGCGGAGGTCGGCTAAGTAGGCGTGAGTGAGTCAGGAGGCGATGCAGACCGGCTGGCAGTGACGAAAACAATCAGCGGGTGTCAGCGCAGTGGGCCGATGCACATGGTGTCTGCTCGGTCTTATATCCGCCCTGCCACCACTGCGCCTTGCCCGAGGCCTCCTGGCCAGGAGGCCTCGCCATCCGATTCCCTTTCATCCCCATAGCAATCCCGACGACGACGGCCGCCGTGTCGAGGCTCGTCTCGCTGCCACCTCGCAGCCCCCCGACTCAGAGTCGATGCAGCAACGCTCCCACGCACGGCTCTGATATGCCATCCCTCGCGTCTATGGCTGGCAGTTGTCTCTCCGAATGGTGTGCATATAGCCATCGGGCATTCACCACTCGCACCATCCTCACAAGGCCGCCCGAGACATTTGTGGCACCGGGTACCGCCTTGCATGCGCGGTCTTGTCGTGTTCAATACGTGTTCCGTCCGTGTCCGTATCCTACGGCGATGACCTCAGTTGTCGCTGCCGCATGCCTTGAAATGCCATGGATACGATCTCCAAATGTTTGCATCGGCCATCTGTCCTTCGGCGGCAACAGCTGAAACAACATTCAAATTATTTATTCAAATCTGTGGGGAAGTGCGGAATGCTATCATTAGCTTCATAATAATCCTTGCGCACACAATGCCGTCAGTCAGTCTTGACTCTCAATCGCACACACAATTAATCTCACACAATACGACGCTCCTCGACACCGCTCTGCTAGGTGTCTGCCGTTACCCTGTCCTAGACAGCTGAACAATCACTTGCGGCGGCGTGGATGGCAGCTGTCTGTAGCATGACTGGCAAGTGGGCGCCTCGAGCTCCGTTCGCCATCCATCCGAATGTGTTCTAGGGTTATGCATAATCACTGATCTGGGCAGCGCCGCATTTCCAAAATACATATACGCGCTACTGAGTGATTTGATTTATCGGCGCTCGTCTGCCTGGCTCAAAACAAGCAACACATCTCTTGCACATCTCGCCCACCCGCTCAATTCACAGCTACGGCTCTGGTCCCTGCGCAAACAGCCCCTCATCGGGCTTGTTTCGGGCTTGGCGCATTGCCTTGACTTGCGTCTCAACCAGTGTCTGGATCCCCGAAACCTATGTAATCATGACACCCAACACATTGCCAAAATCGACGAGGTTTTGTCCGTCGCGTTGGCTTCCCGCACGTACTTTTCCTTGGCCTTCAAGCACCCAACTTCCTCATCGAAACATCGGATTGTTGTACAAAGCAAAGGTATATATACAACCTCGGACATTGCCTGTTTGCTTCACCAGTATGTACACACCGCTTTACAATTACTTCGCAATAAATTACTGCTACTGCGACATTTCATCCGCGTTCTGGCACCACGCCCAAAGCCTGCATCCGCCTCTGAGACGGATGCCGGGCCGCTAGGCCCGCCCGAGGTGTGTACCCGCGAGCTCGCGCTCGAGCTCAGCACTCGGGTCGTCCATCACCGGCGACGGCGGACGCTGCGTCTGCTCTGTGAACCCGGACGTCGCACCATTCGCAGGCGCGTTCTCCAGTACTGGCGAGCTCATGATCTCCTCGCGCGACGGCATGGGCAGGCTAGAGCGAAAAAAAAAAAAAAGAACGGACCCGCGTGCGATAATCAATGCCCGGTGAAGTGGACGACGGCGACCACGACGCACCTATCTTGGCGGCGGATTTGGCCTCCTGCCCGAGCCTGAGCACGGACCTCAGAGCGGAACGCCCGGACCTCCTCGACGATGAGATGTTTCATACCCTCAATCGAGTCCTCTTCCTCGAATCCAAAGTCGAACGGCTACATCGACGCATATCAGCAACGCAAGTTCATCAGGCGTAAGAGGGACATGTACTGTAGGGCACGCAGGCTCGTCGGCGGGATCATGCCACACCGCAAGGTAGGGGTGGTTGAGCGCCTGCTCGCATGTAATCCGCTTCGCAGGATCAAATTGGAGCAGCTGCGAGAGCAGGTCGATCGCAAGGGGATTTGCGCGGGGGAAGAGCGTCTGGAAAGGGACTCGGGGCTTAATCGGAAGGGAGCGAATGTAGTCTTGTGCCTGAGAGATATTCGGTTAAGCGGGCTATGGCGGACGACGAAAGTCATCCCACATACACGAGGAGAGCCCACTCGGCGGAGGGTATCTTCTGAGGGCGTCCCGAGGTAATGCAAGATCTGATTCAGTTGATCGACGTAGCTTCGCGGGATATCGGACGTAAGACGAAGACGCAAGGGCGACGATGACAGCGAACACTCACTCTCTCCCCTTGAATATCGGCTTTCCAGCTAGCAGTTCGGCCAGTATGCAGCCCACCGACCAGACGTCAATGGCAGGTCCCTGCCCATCCCCGATCAGCGTCCAGCGTTTCCCGACATCTGCACACTCACGTAGTTTGCAAAGCTCAGCATGATCTCTGGCGCGCGGTACCACCGTGTAGCAACATATTCAGTCATGAAGCCTTGGTTGGCGGAGGACTTGGCCGCGGAGCCCGCGTTGTACCCGCGCGCAAGGCCAAAGTCGCAGATCTTGAGCTCACAGTCCGCGTTGACGAGGAGATTTCCTGGTTTGAGATCGCGATGGAGCACGTTCGCAGAGTGGATATACTTTAGGCCGCAGAGCGTTTGGTAGATGAACGACTGGAAGTGCGCGTCGGAAAGTGGCTGTTGGGACCGGATCTAGTTTGTGTTAGAATCAGGGTCGGGTGTACTGCCGGCGGGCTCACAATAGCGTGGAGGTCTGCCTCCATCAGCTCTTCCTGTGGTGGTTGTGATGAATGTCAAAGCCAAGCACCAAGGGTAAATGTACGCACATAGAGGTACACTTCGTCAAAATTCCCGTCTGGGCGGAAGACGATGTCCATGTCGTATAGGCAGGTGATCTGACGATTCGTGAGATTTCCAAACGGTGCAGCGCTCGCGGCCGCGTACATTTTTGTGCCCACGGAAGTGGTGCAAAAGTCTGCGCAAGGGATTAGATCGACGTCGGATCGATATGCGGGCGTACATACTTGATCTCTCTCAGACATCGCTTCGTGAGGATCCTCTGCGATTCAACATGCCATGTAAGTGCTGAGCTTCGTTGCGAGAGGGTGAAGCATACCTTTGTGTTGATGTTAGTTATCTTCTTGATAGCGCAGCCATCTCCCGTTCTGCGGTGCTTAGCGGAGACCACGCAGCCGTACGCGCCCTGGCCGAGCTCCTTGACAAACTGGTACTCGGAGTCGACGATGAAGGTGGAGTTGAGCGCGGTGAAGGTGTGTCTCTGCATGGCGGGAGGGATGCGGGCTGTAGGGCGACGGCATGCGGGCGATAGCCCTTTGTATGAAACTGGATCGATGGGGCGCTGAATAGAGGCTTCCCGTTATGGAAGGCTGTTCTGCAGGAACCACGGACACAGCCCTGTGCAATGCTCCTCATCACCGCTCAAGTACAACCTGTGTCCGGCGATCTGCTCATTTTGTTGATCCCTCGCCTTCTCCCCGTGTTTTTGCACCCACTCCGCGAGGAGAACATGCACGTCCAGCCTCCGTCTTCGCCCAGGAGATTGCCGGCACGCGGCTGGTAGCCGCATGCGTCGCGCATGTTCGCGACGTGCTCTGAACCGCTGGTCAGAGCATATATTGTCGACCAATATTTCTGGCGCCATACACGACAATCGCTGAACACGTAGACGCGCATATAGCCGTACATTCCGCGGCGCAGGGTTACATACTGCTCTCCGAGTCGCAACCATCATAGCAGGCAGAAATCATAGATGCACACTCAACATCTATCTGGACAGGTTTTGGAGTCCCAAGATCCTCATTTCCACCTGCCAATGGATACCAGGGCCTGCATGCACATCAAAAAACTTCAACAAAGCTCTACTGTGAGTGTGGATATTTCCCCAGTCCACGTCTGATCACGGCTCGAGTTAATTACTGACTCGTTGGTTTGAACAGCGGTGGACGACGACACCGTGAGCGTCGAAGCTCTGCTATCAAGACTGAGGCTGCTTATCAATATGCGTAATATGTCGCATTCACCGCCTCTCAAGAGCTACTGATATTCAGTTCGTGCATATATTTTTTTCACCTAAGTTGCTTATACGTCAGGCGGAAAGTCAGGCCATGGTCTGTACATTCATGACACATGGATAGCGACTTGTATTATCCGGTTGCTAAATATCAGGAGAGTTCTAGCTGCACGCAAGCTCGGCTGTTCCATGGTTCGTGCCCGCGTGTCTATGGTGTGTGGCCCGTCTCCAGATACATGCATTCGATCAATCTCCTGACAGCATCATGAGTGACGTGGTCTGGATCTACTAATACTGACGCGCATACAGTAAGCTGTTGTACCATCTCGCAACACCGAGCGCTATTGTATGCCGAGCCGCCACCTGCCAGCATTTGACATCACTTACATCACTTGGACTGTACATACGAAGACATAGTTCTTCGCACCTTCGGGACCGATCTCCAAGGCTTTAAGAATCTGTGTGTTTCACGCGATAGATCATCACGAGGGCCTGCAGCCTACTTGTAGTGCTCAGTTCTAGAGAACCAATTTCGGCCTCAATTGAGTGGGTAGTCCCAGTATTGTATGCCCATTGTTTGCACTTTATGATAATTTTGATTCTCACATGACAGTACTCGTGTCAACTTGAAAACTTCTGCTATTTGGACATCAACTATCTATCAATAAGTGTACCGTTGGTCTTCATTCAATTCAGTTCCTTTACATTCGCTGATTCTATGCTTGTTCACAACAGCAAATTCCCTTCAATCAACGCAAATACCCCCCTTCTTCATGTTCCACCCAAGTTGCTCGTACGTCCAGCCGAAGATTAGGCCATCGTCCGTGTAATTATGGTATGCAAGTAGCGACTTGTGCATCCCAGGGCGCTTATGAATGCTGTTCAGGATGGTCATATCTTCGTCCGATAGATCGACAATCTATCACCCCATGGAAAGTGTGGCGAATCAGTATAGCTCTCGCAACACGACGTGGAACGCACCGTGATATTCGATTTCATCCGTTCTACCGCCTCGCTCTTTGGCACGACGATGATCCCGCGCTTCACGCACCAGCTGATCACGACCTGCGCAGGCGTCGCATTCTTCTTCTCTGCAATGCCAACGACGGTGGTGTCTGTGAGGAGAATAGGCTTATCTTGCCCCGGGGCAGGGCGACCTGCGCACATTTCGTTTTGTGTTCTTACGGAGATGGAGCGGCAAACGTACCAAGGGGGGAGTACGCGGTCAACAGTATGCCTTTCTCCTCGCAGAACTTCTGCAATTCAAACGACGGGAGACAGGGGTGAATCTCTACCTGGTTAGTAACCGGAATAATGGACGCGTGCGGGAGGATCTCATTGAGCGTCTTGATGGAGAAGTTGGACACTCCAATCGATTTGACTTTCCCTTTCGCAGCACAATGCTCTCATCAATCCAAATCACTGCTCAATGTCGCGATGAAGACGCACCAGTCTCCACGAGCTTTTCCATCTCCTTCCATACTTCGACGACCGTTGGCTTTTCTCCGTACGGGATGTGTTCGCCTGGGCGGTATAGTATCAATCCTTATATTCAGAAAGGCATCCGAGACGGACTTACCGGATTCGGTGTCAGCTTGTGGCCAATGGATCAAGTACAGATCGACGTACTCGAGGCCGAGCGCCTGAAGCGACTCCTCGAATGACTCTCGGACCTTGTGATGGTGCTTGCTCCTGTAAGCACTGTCAGGATACGACCACAGTAGGATCAGGAATAAGACGTACGGAAGCTTGGTGGTCACGAAGATCTCCTCGCGCGGAATGCCAGACTCGCGAATGGCCTTGCCGACACTTTCTTCATTTCCTATAATCATAGTGAATAATGTTGGCCGTTGAAAGGAGAAGTCCAACCCCACCATAACCGAATGCCTGCAGACGGGATGTGCACGAATATCAGCGGACGCTTGTGTAGCGCTGTGTCGCACAACGTACTGTGTCTAGGTGGCGATAGCCGTGCTGTTGAATATACCTGTAACAGCGTGGAGATCTGACGCGGGAACAAGACTTACCAGCAACGCATTCTTGCACATCACTTCGGCTCTGTCTCCGTGACCCGCACCGCCCATCCAACAACTGATGGACATCATGTCAGTACCGGCGGAAGTACAGAAGTGTGGGTGCACACTCACCCCATGCCAATAGCGGGCACTTTGATGCCATTGTTGAACGCGAATTGTGGAACAGGAGCAGCCATGGTGGGGAGTGATTCGAGTTCAACACGGCGGGAGCGGCTTTTATCTTGTGCTGAATCCAAGACGGAGGAGGACTCCCTCGCCGGCCCGCGGCTGGGGTCACAAGGAGTGAACGGAGCGATCGTGACCCAGCGCACGAGATCTTCTTATGGATAATTTTGAATAGGATACGGACATGAGGGACTGTAGTGTAGTGGTTATCACTTGGGATTTTGATAGTATCAATGTTTCCCAAGACCCAGGTTCGAACCCTGGCAGTCCCTAAAATTTTATTCCTCTTTTATAAAAACTCAAAGTGTGCTAGAGGCTGGCATTAACACTGTGGGTGGGCTGGCTAGCTCATCAGGCAAAGCCAGCAGGTTGCTCTGAAACCTTTGTCCCACAGGTGTCAGGTTTGAATCCTGGGAGGCCCACTATCATTTTGTATACCCTCTTTTAATATTTCTCCTCATTTTAGTTTCTCAAAGCTGATGATATTATATCATCTGTATATGGTGCCACTTCGTTTTCCATATTGCCAAAAAGTATTACTTAAGCAGCCTTCTGCTATCTTCTTTATGCTTTTCCCACTAATCTAGGCTATTGTAGCCTCTATATTGTTATTTATTTTTCTCGCTTATATGTAGAGTTCTCTGTAGAACTACTGACCATACACAAGGCAGAGTGTTCACACATCTGGTATTCTTAGATAGCCAATGGCATATGTAGAGCATCAGTCAATCTAGGTGTTTGGTGTACTACCAGTAGTATTAGGGATCTGGCTCTTCAAGTATAAAGACCAGAACAATGCATGGTGACAAGGCAGACTTTGTCTAGTTGTCACAGTTCCTCAACCTACTAAGCATCTGTTACAAGCTTGGAGGGGGGGTTTTCTTTTCTTTTCCTTTCTTTCCTAA